TATATTATAATTATGGAAACTAGGTTGTTTGGATATGGATGGTCTTTCCATTTTGTTATGTACTAAAATTTCTCATATGTTTATTGTTGATACTTTTCTAACTAAAAAATATTATATGAGACAAGTATGATTCTCTTGAATTGATGGCTTGTGCTAATAGTTTGCTAATCATAAATGTCAGATGTATAATTCATATTTAATTACCTATAACTAGCTAATTTCAATAACTTCCTATGTATTTTTGCTTAGATACATTGCTAGAAATTATCGAAAAGCTTTTTCTAATAAGTTATGGTCTAATTTATTTATGTTTCTTATTGTGCTTTTTTTATTATGCTTGTGCCTAAATGTCCTATTGTCATTTATAGAGTATCATATATATTATCTACCTCTAGAAGGCTCAAAAAGAGGTTTTTAAACAGCTATATGGCATTTGATGCTTTATTATCACTTTCTTAAATAGTTTGGAGTTAGGAAAGGTCAACTAAAGTAGAAGATGAGTTGAACCAAATTGCAGTAAATTGCAAGGCCATTTGATACCGTGATAAACTTTCATCATTAGAATTTCTTGTGGTAAGATTAAAGTTGATGCTGCAACTATGTTTGTTCTTGAAAGCTTCATTTGATAAATATTATTTTTTTTATGTTGTTTCTTTTGCATGACTACTTTTATTGTATGACTTGGACTTTTAGCAAGTATAAGGAATTTCATAGTAAGAAAATTCTTGAGTGTAGCTCTTCCATTTTATTTGCCTCATTGTTGCTTCCAGGACATTTCACTACTATGATATGTTGGGCATTAAAAATTGTCTTTATGTATTATTTTGTTTGTGGTCATAAATGTTGGTGAATAATATAGAAGAAATATCTAGTTGTGGGATACCTTAATCTATTTACAAGAATGAAGTAGAGGTCAAAGGTAATGGAAACCTTTAGAGTCAGTAAATTAAAAAATGACAAAGTGTGTGTTAATAAATTTTGCATGATAGTCTATTATTTGATTCTTAGTAGGGCCTAGAAAATATATGTATGAATACCTTTTCTTAACATATAATAAGATATCTAAAGACAATGGAAATATGCATGGAAAATATAATAATATTCCCATAATGCTAGGGCATATGGAGGTTTTTCTTAAAATAAATTTATGTGTGTTAATATAACTTTTTTTTTTATGAAAGTAATAGTTCTTTTTGGCACTGTTACCATGCCATACAAAACTACAAAAGGTAATTCATGCCTAGAAGGATTTTGGTAAGTGTTAAAAGTAACATATTAAGATAATGAGTATAATTGTTAAAAGCTACATCAAATTTCGATGGTATGGGAATATTTTAGAAAAGAGAATGAAAGAATAATGGACATATGATTATATATATTAGACAGAAGGTTTACCACTTTTTAAGTTTACTTGAAGTGATTTTTCTTTCATAATCCAAACTACTTCTTTGCTTGCATCAATGTAATGTTTAAAGATCCATGAAAAATAACTATACTATGAATGTTTGAATGAAATATATATTATACTGCTTTCAGATATCTTAATTGATCAAATTTGAAGCAATGCAATTGCCCTATTTCAATATCTACTCGAAAGAACGGCTTTCAAAGCCTGTCACTATTTTCTTGTGATCTTTACCACGAGCCTTAAGTACACTCCCTTTTCTTTCTCCTTCTTATGAAATCTTTATTATTCTATAGACTGTTTTGAAGAGAATATCTTTTTTGTATAGTATATAATATAAGCTTCAACGTTTTGTTCAATAATTATGCCTTTCCAGTTACTTTATATTTTACACACTCCAATGCATAAACATGAAACATTCTTTTATTTTTGGTGGCTTATTGGCTTTCTTATTTCTTTTTAGCTATCTCTTGGCTACTTCATATGGTTCTTTATTCCTTTCTTGACTATTCAATTCTAATGGGATTTTTAAAAAACTTAATTTAATGGTTTTTTTTATTGCTTCTAGTGGGCCTTTATATGATTTTATTGCATTCACATAGTTAAATTTTAGGTATGGTTAAACTGTTTGTTGAAAGAGACTATTATCCAGTGCTAAATATTGTTAAATAGGCTGTATCAAGTTATTTGATTTACCTTTTCAAACAATGTCAATGACTCTTCTTCATGTTATTGGTTTGTAGTGTAAAGCATAGCCAGATGAGCCATTATTACGGAGGGATTCTAAAAGATGAGCTATTTAAGTAATGTATAGTTCTTGAATGAAAAGATCTAGAGTTGTATCATTTCAAATCTAGATAGATCTAGAATTTGTAGAGTAGTGCAAGTGAATGGTTTGATCTAGAATTTGTAGAATTCTTGAATTGATAAATCTAGAGTTGTGTAATCTCTTGAATGAAAAGATCTAGAGTTATATAGTCTTAAATCTAGATAGATCTAGAATTTGTAAAGTAGGGTAGGTGAATGGTATGATATAAAGTTTATAGAATTTTTTGAATTGATGATCTAAAATTATGTAGTCTTAAATCTTGAAGTATCAGCATTTCTTTATATTCTATTATCTTTTAAATTTGACATTAAAAAAATATATTTTTATGAATCTATGTAGACTCTCCATGGTGTAGTATGGGTTTACATTCTAGTAATATATTAAAGTTATCTCAAAATCACTCATTGCAAAATTGAATCATAATTTTAAGCCAACAAAGATGTGTCATGAAGAATGATTTGGGGGTTATTTAAGGCATTTGATTATATAATTTGGAGTTGATTTTGACTTTTAACATATGCTATATGGTTTGGGGTTAATTGGTTCATTTAGTTTTTTAGGGGCTATTTAGATTTTGAACTAATTTTTGTTGAAATATTTAAGACCTTAACTAATTTTTTTTGGATTAATTTAAGATTTCGACTGATATTAAAAGAGTAATTTAGATTTACTAAACTATTGGTTCATGTTGGGGTTTTCGAATTGTCAAGACAATTTATTTTTTTTATTCATTTAAGGGTATTTTTAATTAGTTAATATACTTAAATCACTTAAGAGCTCATTAGAAGGTTGAATATTTTCATATGAACCAAGAAAAATCAAACTTAATGTGATGATGAAACTTTGGAATTTTATTTTATTTCTACCTTATTAATTTATCATTTTTTTAACGAAGATTTAGCTTTATGTATTTAGGTGAAACTATTTTGGTGAATCAATATATGTTATACGTATTGGAAAGTTATTAGCAGATTCAGTTCTTTTTTTTTATGTAAAATAAAAATCATTAACTATTAATGAATGAATTAGTTTGATATCCAATGATCATTTTGATCAAATGATATAAACGTTCAAATACTATAAATATTATAATTCAATGTGCTATCTTCTTTCCCTTATTCATTCATTTATCTCTAAATTCATGACATTATATTGCCATTCTTTGAATGTCATCACATTCACAAATTAAGTTCCTTTCATAGCTAATTATGCTCCTACAGCAAAGCAGAAGCACTACTCTAGTTATTTTTATTTTCTTTCAAAACTAATGATTAGAAAATAAAGTGAAGATAGTTTTTATTCAAATTTGTTTATTTTTTCAATAACTCCTTAATTTTTTTTCCCTTTTAACTCTTTTGGAAACTTGTAGTTAACTCAAAAATTAAACCATCAAAATCATATACAAATTTCGATCCTAAAATCTCAAAGTCAAATACCCATTTTTTACCTCACCTGCATACATAAATCCAATTCAAGAGCCACCATCACATTCACAATAAAACATTACCTAATTTGCAACCCAACACCATCATTACAACAAAATTCCCATTTTTTACCCAAAAATTTTCCATCCGAAAAAACAAAAAATACATAACACAATCAATTGTTGAAACAAAAAAATAAAAAGAGAAAGATAAGTGTGTTTAAAGTTCAAATTTTGAGAATTTAGAATTTCATATGGGTAGTAAGTGGAAAACTAAAGGAAAGGGAGGCAAAAGAGTTTTGGTTTAAAGAAGGATTTTAGCGTTTCGGTTTAGGTTGATTTAGAGGAGTTTTGATGTTTTAATCGTAAGGGAAATGAAGGGTTAGAAAATGTGTTTGAGGCAGATTATAGCTTCTCAAGTGGACGAAAAAGGCTTTTTGTTGGAGACATTAAGACTTTTTAGACTAGATCTAATATTTTATAGGGTGTTTATGGGAAATCTAATTCCATATAAAAAAGGGGATATCAATATGAGTATTTGAGTTAATTTTGGTACAGTGTTGAAGCCAATGACAGGTGGCTGATGACGGTGGAAGGTGGTGAAAATGGCGGTAGCATGTCGAATTATGGTAAAAGAATACGGTGGCCATCTCTTTTAATATTTCTCACTATTAAAAAATTTCCCAACTTTTTTTTATTTTTCATACTTATAGAGGTGGTATTACAAGTACCAAATAGGTCACATGGTTGAGCCAATAAAATTATTAACAGATCCCTAACGCTAGGACCAACCTATTATGTCAATTGAATTTTTTTGAAATGGAGTATTTAATTTCAAAATTAATGGATTGAAGGCGAATTATGATCAAATTTTAAGGATTTTGATAAAATTTACCCTTATTATTATATGAGTTACTAGCATAGTTTAAATTTTATTATAAAACTATGTAAAAGATAATTTCTCATGCAATAAAAACTTAAAAAGAAAAAAAAAATTAAACGTTGAGTCCGGCTCTCGCCTTATCTCTATATGAGATTGAAAGAGAAATTAAGTTATGGGGAGTAATTAAAAAGTTCAAGAAAAAAAGTCAAGAAAGGTAAAACTTTACATGCACCCCTTATAGTTTGAAACTTGCACATTTACAAACATCTCTATAATTTATAACTTTTTCACTGACATCTTTAGTAGAAATATTTTTTCACTTACAGTCTCATGATTCACTTCTGTTAAAAAAAGATAATGACATTAAAAGTCAAGCACAATTTAGTAAAATTATAAAATAACCCTCACCTATGATTATAAGTGAAAAAAAAAAAATTCTATCAAGGATGTCAGTGAAAAGTCACAAATTGTAGGTGCGTATGTGAAGTTTATAAAAACGAAAAATAGCTACTAAAATAATTAGAAAAGGGTTTTAGGGAATTTTGGCGGTTAGGGTTTTAGTAAGATTGATACATTCAGCAATAGAAATTTTCGCCTAAAAACTAAAAACTGAGCGTGCCCAGGCTTTCAGTTTATTTTTTCTTTTTTGAATGGTATTTTTGGAAGATTTCTCTGTTTCCGATCCGAAAATCCCAACGGTATTTTCTCTCTCTCTTTACTTTTTGAGCCTTTTGGTGTTATTTCATATGTCTTAACTATTCTTCTTCGTAAGTGTAGTTAGGGTTTTAGAATGGATTTAATGTTTCTTAAGGTAAACCCCTTCTTTGGCCGACGCCGTCATTTCTCGTTTTTGATGGTTCCTCTCCCTTGTTTTTCTTTTTTTTTTTTTCCCTCAAATGTGTGAATGTTTGATCCTTTGTTCTGCTTGGTTGCTATACAAAAGAGGGAAAATAATGAAGAAAAAATAAGATTATGGATCATAGGTTAGACGTTGTTTTGCATTTGTTTTTATTCCAATTTTCTTTTTAATGGTTTAATGCTGTGGGGAACTTATACGTTTGATCCTTTTCCCCATAACCCATTGTAAGGTGTTATAATGAGGGACGCCATCTGTGTTAAGGGGCTCTAACCATGTATGATTTTTAGCATCGACTTTTCTGGTGCCTAAGACTTGATATTAGTGGTCACAAAAGGTTATTTGGGAGTACTGGTTCTCTTCCATCACCTTCCTTGTAATACTTAGGCGCACCCTTGATTTTGGTTTTGTTTTTTGTTGTTATATCAGAAGAGAATTAGTTTAAGTGAAGAGGCTGACTTTAGAATCCTGTTGATTAATTGGGTCGTGCAATAGGTTGGTCAAACAATGTATAGTGTTGACCATATAAACTGTCCATGGCAATGGGATCAGGTTAGATGTGAGACAAAACTTTGTTGGCTTAGCAGATCTTTGAATTTAATTACTGGTAAAAAATGAAGCATGTGGCTGAGATGGTGGATAACCAAAGTTAGGGAATTGATACTGAACCTGTAAATGGTGATGGTGCATGCTGCTGGCTTTGAAGTCTAGACTAAGGTGCCATGTTTTTATGATGTCCTCTTTATTTGAATGTAACATTCCAAATCAAATGCTGGCTTGCGAAGAAATGTACCTCCACAACCTTAACCTTTTATTCTAGAATGACACAAACCCTGTATTTTGAACAATTATTCAACTACTATCATTAGAGCATTGTATCCTGCATGTGTAGGGTAATAGTTAGTTGGCGTACTTGCTCAGGAAAGGTGGCTTAAATTTAAGGAATCATGTTATTGGTTATGTCCAGGTTAAGTGTGACATTGGTTATGTCCATTTAAGGAATCGTGTTATTGGTTATATCCAGGTTAAGTATGTGACATTGAAAATTTGATGCTGGTTTTTGAGGCATAGGTATAATCATGTTTTCTCTCTCTATCTTTTTTTTTTTTTGGGGGGGGGGGGGGGGTGGGGTTTGGGTTGGGTTGGATTTGAATGGGGCACCTGTTGTTTTTGGAATACCTTTATAGTTCAATTTTTTATCAAAATCATAGTCATTATAGTCCCTGTAGATTTTGGCAAAAATAAATAGTCCCTTTAGATTGCTTACTAGGTGCTCTAATTTCACATCATCATGATCCAAATTCCAGGGGTGAAGAGTGGGGCTTTTACTACTGCCATTTGGTTTTGAAAATTGTGAAAGGTTTTTTGATCTTTTATGGGTTTCACCGGCCTGTAGTCTTCAATACTGCTTTTGTTTCCTTTTTGATCTATAGACCTTGCTTGGTGGAGGCAATAATCCAATCCATTCAAATGTTATGTTGCCAGGTCTAATTCAGTTCTTCTATAGTGTTTCTACAGGTTTTTCTTGATTGTATATCCCTTGTTTGGAAAATATTGCCACTCTTGTTTTAATTTTTGATTTGCTTTCAGAGGTAGTGAGTGCATTAATCCAAGTTTTATACAATACAGAGTAAAAATAGTAAAAGAAAATGAAAACAGTGAAAGTTGGAATACAAAAACTACGGTTTAGGTTTGAACCTCAAACGAGTAATATCCATCTATAATATGGCTGCTAAAGCAGTCTAAAAGACTACTTATACTAGGGTTACAGCAGTTTTAATTTCAGCCCTTATAAACAAATAAACCCCATCTAATTCTAGGCATTCGAGCTCATTAAAAGATAAGATGCTATTCGCCTGACCATTTTATAAAATAAAAACCATACTTACCATAACTAAAGCAAAACAGCAGACCTGAAATAACATTTCAAAATAACTAAATTAGATAGCTTCTGGAATGCTCCAGCGTCAAAGTGTGAGTATCAAATTTTTAGGTTGAAATATGGGGACGAGAAACTTAAGCCATGATTTATAAAGTTAGGAAATATGGGGCAGGAGATCTATTAGCAAGGAGAAGTAAAGATACAGTACTAAATTTTATAAAGCTGGGTATTTTTTGGTAATGAGTACTTTTTGTGCTGCCTGATTAAGTGTTTATTAAGCTTGCTTTTAGAATTAGATAGTAGAAAGTTGAAAGAGAACTCTTTGTGTCACTTGGATTGATCTTGGATGGGAACATGGTAGTTATTTGATATTGCAAATAGTAGATTCTTATGATTTTGGGTAAAATACATGTGAACTCTTTTTGCAATGTGATTAAACTTAAAACGGCTCAAACTCCTCTTGATAAGATGTGAGTAAGTGATGAGGAAATAAAAACTGGGAAAAGCAGTAAAATTTTCCCCCAGCTCATTTGGCAATTAGGATGTTGATGTTTTGGACTTTATGTAGATCTATATTCTCTGTGGCCATTCATGTTTATGAAAGTTTTGGTTGCATCAGATCAAATTTCTTAGTGTTGTTTGTATATATAGGTGCTTCAGAACTGTGCAGAAGTTTTGAAGGGGTAGCTGAAACATCTAAGAAAGGGCTTTGTTGGTTTGAACTGAAGCGCTCTGGGATGGCAGAGTGGGGTGTCCACCGGCAAGTTAAATTCTTGGGCCCTCGAGGAGATAGCACTTCCAAACAGTTGTCTGGCAAAATCGAGGAAGAATATGATGAAGATGATAAAAAACACGTGAAAGCTGAGTTGATTTCATGCCCAGAAGTACGGAAGAGAAAGTGTCTTTCCTCCAACCAACTGAGAAAAGAAAAAGCTATAAGATGTGGGGAACAAAGGCTACATAGTAGTCCTAACAAGGGCAAGCAAAAGAAGCACAACAGTTCTGTAGAGAGATGGTCTGCTGAAAGGTGAAAACTTTAATTACCAACGGGTTAAATTTTCCCCTTCTGTTCATCCGAAATTTATTATATATGGTACATTTTTTGAAGGTATAAACTGGCTGAAGAAAGCATGTTAGAGATCATGAAGGCTGAAGGGGCTGTGTTTGAGAATCCAATATCTCGGCCTGCTTTGAGAATGGCAGCTCGTAAACTTATTGGTGATACTGGGCTCTTGGACCATCTGCTGAAGCAGATTGATGGAAAGGTGGCACCTGGTGGTACTGATCGGTTTCGCCGCTGTTACAACACTAGTGGGGTGATGGAGTATTGGCTAGAGAGTGCTGACCTTGCCAACATACGAAAAGAGGATGGGATCTCCCCATTTTGGCAGAAACCTGATGGGGGTCGCTTTCATGATTCTGTTTGTGCTATAGAACTCCAACTACTTAAAGAAGAAATGGCCAAAATGAAGAGGTGAAGAAACTAGAGTAGCTGTTATTTAAAGGTGAAGCCATTGATGGTCTTGTTTTTATCATCTCAGGTGCCTTCTATTTTTTGTAAATAGGGATATGCAGGAGCTGGTATCCAAGCAGCAAGAGCAAGATCAAGCTAGTTCGATTGAGGTGAATGTGGAAACAGTTTGAAATGAAATTAATTATATCAGTAAGATAAGTTGCTGATGTTTCAATTGAATTCTTTGTTGTTCTACAGGAGATGCAGAAAGAAATGGTGAAATGGAAAGCGAAGACAGATGAATGCCTGATGGAGTTTTCAAGTTCGTTGAATGGTGTGCAGGTAATATAACAAATTAACAATATTCTGCTTTTAATCATTGAATTTCTGACAGTCTGACAGATGCTAAATATAAGATAGAAAGTATTATTTTTGAGTTATTTAAAACTTATTTTTGTTACAAGACTAATTTTGTGCACACCTATATCTAAAATTATCAATTAAGTGCAAAGAGCTCTTATATTTTACCTTTTTTCGAGTAGAACATGTGCAAGGAACTAATGCCATGGAAAGCTAGAGTTGAGCAGCAGATGCTGGAAATTTCAAATTCATTGAGCAGTCTGCAGGCATCGAAGCAATGCACTATCTTTAGTCCATCAGCTTCTGAAAGGTGGGAAGATTGGTTGGAGAGCACCAACCTTGACAATTTTCAAGGGGGTAACTTGACACCCTGGTTAGAGAACCCAGAGCTGATTAATTTTGGGCAGGATGTAGTTCAAGATACAGATCTGGCCCCACTAGCATGGTCAAGACCTGGTCATAGCCCCTCTCAAGGCCCCATTTTTGCGCAAGAGCTGGATATACTTAACGAAGAAACGGCTAAAATAAAGAGGTAACAGAGGCTTTCTGACAAATTTTGATCGGAAGGTTATTGTATTTGACATTGGAGCTGCTTTCTTTTGTTTTATAAACAGTGATGTGCAGGAGCTAGCACCAAGGAGGCAAGAGAAAGATCAGGCAAATGTGACACCTGATTCTTCTGTTACTGCCAATTCAAAGTTAGATCTTGATAATTCATTGCTTCTGTTTCAGGTGATGTCAAACTAAGAATTTAATTTATTTTTTTAATATTAAGAGATGCATATGTACCCTAACAGATACATGTAAATATTTATAGTTGTGCATGTGGATAACTGTCTGTGGATGTGTGAATGTCATGTGAGTGTACTCACCACTGCATTTATCTCAATGAAGGACCAATTTGCAATCCCCTCTTTGACAGGAAATGTTGAAGGATTTGGTGAAATGGAAAGCTAAAATTGAGCAACAGCTGATGGAGATTTCAAGTGCAGTTAGTGCTATGCAGACATCGAGGAAGTAACTTATTCTTTTCCTTGGAAATGAATGGAGTATTCAGTTTCAATCCCCCAACGCCCCCTCCCTACCAGGCCTGCCTCTTCCATTTTATCTCCTTTTTGTCCTCGTTGGATAACTTAGATTAGATTTATATTAGTATAATTTAGATCTTGTATAGGACAACACTGAAGCCTAGCTCCTCCACTTCCAATACAATGGATCCGTGGCGCCACATCTAACCTTAACCTACAAAGAAGAACTTACATTGTGAGCTGCAAGTTGTCAATATCATGCTCACAGGGTAGAAACCTTTTTTCCAGGTACAGATTTTGTGTAGAAATATGCTTAATTTAGTTCATGACCTGTGGATCTGTTTATTATATTTGACTTGTCTTTTACTAATGACATATATTAAATTATATGAATGTGGATTGCTATGGCTCCAGTGGGTTGTTACAAGTGCATGTAATGTGCTCGGATGCTGAGGTAGTTGCCATTTTTTTTAATTATTATTTTATCATTATTATTTCAAGTAATATCAGGCTGCTGACTACTAGGTCTAGCATTCTGTGTTGTTTTATGAAATGGCTAGGTTGTGATTTTGAAAATTATAGTAAAAAACTCAGATTCTGGTACGTTTATAGTCTAGACATCAAGCTTTCCTTACTCCAATCAATCTGGATGTATCCCTCATTCAGGAATAATAATTCTGATAAAATAGAAAATTTAGGAAGGAAAGAAAGAAGAAACATTCCCAGTTTCACCAAACCAATTAGGGATCGTTCATACAAAAGTAGATAATACCATTTTATGAATGAACAATTAAAAATTTTTACTAACAAATTGCATAATTTTATTTATAAATAAAACAATTAAGTTTGTGAATAAATGTGATTCTGTCTTTTATTTTTATTTAAAGTGTTTTTAAATAATTTAAAGTAACAACCAAAGGTTAGCTTAATTATTGAGTCCGCGTGTATGTGTGTGTGTGTTGTTTTTTTTTTTTTTTTTTTTTTAAATCTAATCCCTTAATGAAACGATTTTAAGGTCACCCTTTTATATCAGATTTTGCTTTTGAAATATCTTTCACAAATATCGAATCTTGGTTGATAGAAAAAAGAATCTCTCTCCTTATCAATTCAATTAATTTTTGTGAATTAAGTGCACGAATTAATATCATAAATTGAAAAAATCATTGTATCATCTCTAAAAAATTATTAAAAAAGTGCTCTTTGATAGCCTATAGTTTTCAAGGGTATTTTTTGGTGATGAGACCTTTTATTTACAGCCTCAAATTTACTCTATACATTTCATTTTTAGTATGCTTATTAGGGAAAATAGTTTAACCTGTATCTGATGGGTTTCAACAAACCTAACATTTTAGGATAATTTTTTTTTTAAATCGAATATCGGGTTGGTCGAGTAATAGTAGGAGACAATCGATGTTGGATTTTAGGCAAGCTTGACCTGACTTGATTCGATATATATAAAAATTTATTTTTTAATTATTTTTTAATTATATATATTTAATTTTATATTTATATTAAAAATAATATTTTATATTTTAAAAATAATATTTTATTAATTTCAATTCGAGTTGAGTTGGATATGGTTTTGTATAATATTGGATTAGATCAGGTTCAAATGTGAAAAAAATAAAAAAAATTATCAGGTCAAGTTTAGGGTGAGTAAAAACTTGTCTCGACTTGATTCGTTGTCATCCCTAATGCTTATAAATGTATCCTAATTTTTGTTCTTTACATTTTGCTTTCTTTTAAAAAAAAAAATTTGTAAATGAAATTATTTAATTATCATTCTTCACTATTTTTGAATATCCATATTCGATAAATTTTATAACTTATCGAAAATGAATTTTTGAAAAGTAATATAACTTTCTAGAAATTGATTTTTGGAGAGTTAGAGATTTAAGCTTTAAGAAAAAATATAAAAAAGAAAATTTTACTAAAAATTTTTATTAATTGGTGTAATAAAAAAGTTATTATTAAAAAGTCATAATTTTAAAATTAAAAAAATCGAAGTTGATTTTATGATTTTTACTTTAGAGAAAGAATAAAATCTTATGAGATTCTAATTAAATATTTTATTTTTTGATGTTACGAGAGATAATGAAAGAACTATTAGGTTTGATCAATATCTAAGAACTGAAACTCTTGAAAGCTGTATAAACTAATACTACTAAATATTATACAATTTTGTTAAACTTTAATATGCTAATTGGAGAAATTTATTGTGATAAGTAAATAGAGAAACTTCTTCAAGGAATTTATTTTATTTAGAGCTATTATAAAATTTTAATAATCGAAATAAAGAAAAAAATTTATTAAAAAAATGATAAATTTTAAATTTATAAAAAATTATATTTATTATTTTATCCTTAATTTAATTAAAATCTCATAAGTTTTTTATTCTTTCTTTGAGGTCAAAATAATAAAATTAACTTTTTTTATTAATTTTAAAATTTATGATTTTTTTAATAATAATTTTTTCATTACACTAATTAATAAAAATTTCTAGTGAGATTTTCTTTTTGTAATGTTTTTAAAATTTCAATACATCGCTTTCAAAAAATCAATTTCTAGAAAGTTTTATAATTTTTCGAAAATCTATTTTCAATTAATTACACAACTTTTCGAAAATCCATTTTTGATAAGTTATAAAATTTATTGAATATGGATATTCGAAAACTTATAGGAAAAGGAAATTAAGAAATTTTACTTATAAAAAATTTTGAAAAAAATTTGGGTGTGAAGAGCAAAAATTAGGGTGCATTAAAAAGCACCCCATTTTTATTACAAAATTAACCCTAAATAAATTTATTTAATTAACCTTTAACAAATTACCTTTAGGCCATTCCACATACTCATATCTATTTTTCCTCTTCTTCTTTTCTTTTTCTTTGTTCTGTCTTTATCATAAACAGTAAATCATTAAAACTATTCTTATTATTTTATACATTGTGAAATTTGATACTTATATGAGAAAGAAAATCGATTAGGATGAAGAGTGTCGAATGTCCAAAGATTTGCATTTTTTAATTTGTCAAAATAAAAATTTTTGAATTTGCATTTTTTGAAAGAGGATTTATAGATCTAGAAACATCTAAAAATTTTCGGATTTGCATATTCAAAAGTTTTTTTGGTTTCTGTAAATGCAAATTTGAAAACTTGCAAAGTCATTTGGAAATTCATTTTCGTAGGTCATAATTTATGCAAAAAATTAATATAATTTATAGTATTTAATCTCATTCAATTACATAAAAAAAATCTTTATGTTCAAAAGAGTTTTTTGAAACACTTATCTTTTTTGGAACTTGAGATTGTTGGTTTTGATTCAACTAAAAATTTATATATTATGTTATAATATATTATAACATTTTATAAGAAAAAATATATTTTATGAGAATCCTATATATGAATATGTATGTTAGATTATTAGCAATGTTGGATCTACTAGAGTTCAGGTACCTTATACTACTTGAATATAAAACTAATAAGGTTGGGTAGTGTTAGGGACTTGGACAAATTTTGTAACACTTTTTTTTTTCATTGGATAAAATATTAAAATAATTTACTTAGGTAACAACTATAAATAGTTGTGCAAATATTATAAGATCTAACAATAATTTTTTATTGTTTCAAATAATAAGAGATTCACAACAACATAAATTATAGTTGTATAAAATAATAAAAATTCAACTAAGCAACAACTGTAAAAAGTCATTGCAAATATAATAAATTGTGCAACATTATTTTGAGTTGTTGTAAATTGTGGTTGTTAAAAGTCATTTTTTAATATAAATCTTTACTTTTTTTTCTATGTTTTCTTTTAATATTATCTCACAATTAGGTTATATTTTATAATATATATTGATATGCCAATATTTGTAATGAATTTTTAATATTAACAATTTGAAATATTTTTATTAAAAAATATTTTACAATTATTATTGCAATAAAAATATTGTTGATATACAAATTGTTATTGCATTAAAAAATAATTTCTTAAATTTAATATAAATAGTGAGAAATTAATTTCTAGTAATTGTAAATTTCACAAGAGTAATGATTTCAATTATCATAATGCTAAATTCATTATTGTGAGAACATGTAGTCGACATTAACTTGTAATGTTTTATTGTAACAAAAATTTTTAAAAAAATTATGAAGTGATAAATAATTTTATCACCACAAAAATATTTAAAAGTAGTGACCACTATATATGTCATCACTAGTATATCATTTTTTGTAAAAAATAATTGGCATTGATTTTTGTATTTTATTGGTGATGAATTTATAGTGACAAACTATTTTGTGCCACAATAATACTTTTATAACAATGATTTAATTGTAAAGAAATTTAAACAGTCACAATTATTATTATAATAGTGACTAAATAATGCTATATCACAATTGCTTATAACAATATTGTCACACAAAAAACCTAATATACATGACGAATTTGTTCATGGTCACAAAAAGTTATCACTAAAAGCCTTGACTGTTGTTAATAATTAATAACATTATAATTGTGTTCTAACATCATAAGTGTTTTTGTTATTTAATAATTCCTAGCAACATAAATACATTTGTTTTTTGACTTAACTTTTTCTATTCTTGGAAAGATATTTCAAATTCAAATATAAATACACCTTATGTAATGTAAATTGGTAGCTAATATTTTGGGTAAAAAGCCTTATGTTTATTATTCTTTAAGTTCTGTATCTTTCAGATAGATTTTTTTAAAGTGGTGAACTTGTGTAGCTCTTTCCTTTAAGGTGGTGAAATTCTGTATTCTAAGAGTTTAAAGTTACTTTTCTTATTTCTTTGGGGTAATGATATCTTTATTTCTAAGGGAATGAGATTACCCATTTTCTTTGTATGTGATTAAGAGAATTATTTCATTTTATTCTCTTAGTTCGGCATCAACTTGGTATAAAAGCTTTAAAAAATGTTTAACCTGGTGTGTTCAAAGCTTTATAAAATCATATTTAAAAAAATGAAGTAGATTTGTGGAAGAATGCTTATAGAAAAAAAAGCACGTGAGAAGGCCATTGTTGATCAATGATTTAATTTCATGAGGCAAATAATTCTAGAACTCCAATAATGTCTTTAAATGTTATAAATGTCATAATACTTCAATAAGTTTTCATAATGATTCATCCAATGATGAAGTAGATGATTGTAACCATTTTTATAACAATATACAATGTGTGATTTTAGTGATGATTCTTTCCATCATCATCGAAAAAAATAAAGTTTGTAACTATCATTGTCATCATGTCAAACTTGACATTCCAGAATTTGAAAGCAAGATGCAACTAAATGAGTTCTTTAATTGGCTTTACAAGGTGAAAAAAGTTTTTAAATTAAAAGAATATTTCAATAGTTGCAAAATGAAGTTGGGTGCTATTAAATTTAGAAAATATGCTTTTTAGGTTGGAAAACTTGAAAAGGCAATGAGATCATGATGGAAGAAGCAAAATCAAGACATGGGACAAGATGAAGAGGAATTTAAAAGAACATTCTTACTTGAAAACTATAGGTAAGATAACTACCTCAAACTTCATAAAGTAAAAAGAGTTATCAATAAAAGAATATACCATGGAAATTGAGCATTTCATGC